TTGCTATGAAGGACTCATACAAACCATACAGGTACATGTACATGTATTTTTAGTATACATGCATGTACATATACATATACATGTAATGTACGTACATGTACATGTATTACTGTTGTTCTTGTTACTATTTTTAGACACTTGGAATTCCTCACATATTCTAATATTAGATCAGTAATTGATTTCACTGACAGTGAAGGTACATGCATGTACATGATATTTATTTATTTATTTATTTATTTTATTAGATGTTGTTAATGGTTTTGGTCTGTTAGTCCATTGGTCTGATGATCCTCAGGAGAGATTATTAACTTTTAAAATTAACGGAGACTCATCAATTAAAACAGAACTAATTAATAAAATATCTCAAATGATGTGTACCAGTAACTGTGCCCCATCTCCAGTGAGTGTAGGGTCATTATTAAGATTAAAGCACGGGCTATAGTACAGGGTGCTTTTGGAAAATTTAGCATTTTAACTGCCAAAATTAAAACCAGTCATTTCAAGCCATTCAGGGCTGCCAATAGGCTCTGTGGGGCCCAGGGCAAAAACTTTGATGGGACCCCTACTATTACAAATCTCCCCCTTATTAATAACAGCGATTAACAAAATGGCCCAGCAAGAGTTTACTTTAAAAAGTTGTCATGATTCTTTGATCTTTTTCTGTGAAAAACTATGCATACTTTACTACTGACCAGGTGCTTGCGGGCCCCCTATTGATTGGGGGCCCGGGGCAAAATGCCCCACCTGCCCCCCCTATTGGCAGCCCTGAAGCCATTACATGTATGTACATTGTACATGCTCAATGGCACATGGACACATTTGCCAAATTAAAATTCGCCAATCATAAAAACTTTAGTAGTCTGCCAAAATTTTACCCCCCCCCAATTTTCAGCTATACAGTAATCTATTCCTAAAATGCTCATAACTCAAAAACTGCTCAATTAATCAAATTTTATTTATACATGTACATATGTATGTATCATAAGGCATTGACTATCAATATTTTCTATTTTTAATTATTTTTGTTTGTTGTTGTTTACAGGATATGTTTGTATGGAAGACCTCATCAGATATATTACACTCAATGCCAAAGACTGGAGGTAGCATTGGACCCATTGATACTGGAACCATTAAAAGAGCATTCACGTAAGAGAGGGAGAGAGAGAGAGAGGGAGTGGGGGGGAGGGAGGGAGAGAAAGAAAGTGTTTGTGTACATGTATTACATCAATCTATTATTTCTTGATTATTAATTATTAGTGATAGTATTAAAGGAATGAGAAGGAAAGTGAAGAGAACTATATCAAATCGTTCCAATAGAAGACCATTCACACCATTGAGGTACTTATAGATATACTGTATAGAGAGAGACTAGTGACATATTATATTATTGTGGTACATATTGTATTTATATTATTAGTAAAAATGTTGATCAGTTAGACACAATGGATGAATCATTTACTGATCTTGTAAGTAATATAGTATTAGTAAGAA